TTGATGATTATTCTGTCAGTTAGATTTATTATACAGGTATATGCTATACACTAACAGGTGTTTCGGGAAATCAGGTAAATTCTGGCATGTCTCAATAATTCACATGCATTAAGAGTATCATAATTCTGATAGTAAAGTGCACAGATGAAAAGAAAAATAGGGCACAGTGGAACTTTGATACAAAATCTAAAACATTAACCTTCACAATGTTAAATGTTTCATGATGAAGTTGAACTTGGACTGCTTTGTTTTGGAGGAGTTCATTAAATCAATTTACTAGTTTCGAGGACTTCAGCTAAATACTTGAAAAGCTTAATGGTAATGAAGCAAAGATTTGAAACCTGACTAAGGTAAAGTCTATAATTACTGCTTCCATATGGTGACTTTGACAGCTTTACTGTGAATGATGGCCTCAGATGCCCTTCTTTTGCATAAGTTCAGGCACAAACAGCCATCTGAGTAGATAATCACCAATGTTCTCTGAGATTGTTCATAAAAGAATAATAAGTCCATCAGTAGTCAAACCTGAAGCATTGAGGGGCAAGCAGCTTAAAGTCAACAACATGAACAACTCAGCCACTGATGCCCCAGAACAAAAGGGGATTATTATAATCAGCCTTCATCACCATTACGATATCTATAAGATAAATTATTTTAGGATAATTCTTAAAATAAATGTTCACCATATTACGATTATATGAGATGATTTTATTAAACCTTGCCACGCTGAAATTGTAAAATTATTGACTTATTGACTTATTACATATGGAACAATTAATTCATGCTATTACAGAGACACATTTTGAATTTCCGCATAAAGCTAAACTTATACCAACCATAGTTCAGTGAAGTCATGCAAAACTGCTCTGAGCCTAACTAATGGTCCTTTTACAAATTAAATGATGATCAAAGAATGAAACAATTTCCTCATTTATACTGTAATTCAAATTATTTCCTGATATTACAGTTGTCTGTGAGCATTGACAGGTTATTCAACTTTCTACTGTAAGAATTAAGGAAAATGTATAAGACTTTTTGTCATTACAGTTAAAATTTCTGCCAAGTAGTTTCAATTTCCTTCATTTGGATGCTTTATATATGCTGATGTGAGCTATAATCAAGGCATCAATGGCTCATTTTTGTTTTGGTCAAAAATTATGTCGGGACTCCACTGAGGTTTTTTGACATTACTTGACTGGAAATATTTTCCCAAGATTTGTGTATCAATTGATGTAGATCTGGACCAATAACTTTTCAGGTCTTTCCTTCACCTCCATATTTTCAGTATAATCATTTTGACTGTGCAAAAAGACCCAAATTACACTCAAATCTGGCTAAGAATCTGGCTAAGAATCTGGCTAAGAATCAGACAAAAACTGATTTTCAATTTAATTCTGAGTATATTTCTTTGTTATCCTTTACAGATTTTTCCATTCTTTAAGTGCTTCACTTAATATATCTAAGAATTTCAAATCTTAAGTTTTTAAGCCTTTGCACTTCAGTGGAGTTCCTTTAAAAGTTTAGGCAGCTAAGCTTGCCCCCTAAAACTTGTGAAAGAGGACAAAACAACCTTGCAGAATAAACACAGAAAACAGAATAAAATTCAGTAGCAATTAAATCAGTACAGTTGCAGGTTAGAGCATGTTGAAAGGAAGATTTCATCTTCAAATGATACCACCAATTACCAGGAAATTTTCCGCCAACAATTACAAGAGTTTGATGTTTCTATCAAAGCTACCATCATTATCACTGCTACATTCCAGCTATACTGTAGACAATTTTGTTTCTGCATGTAAAAAAAGTAGTCCTAGCTCTCAAGATTTCAAAATAATACAGGTAACCAAAACATTTTTGACACAAAAGAACCATTTAAATTCCTGTAGGCATTTATTAGCAACATGTATAGCTTGCCTTTTTATGGTTATAAGGTATCTGCCATTCAAACCAGAGATTGTGGGGGTTCGATCCCTTCTGGGGTCAATGACACAAGTACAAATAGGACTTGAATATGGTTAAAACAAGCTGTAGCTTGCTGTACATTACTAATTTAAATCTTCCAAGATTACCTACATAAGGAAAGCAAATAACAATTCAAGGGAATTTGAATTCATTTTCCTTAGAACCTAATGATAGGCTGTCTTAACAGAAAGAAAAATACCTTCAAATAAATACACCAAGTGTTTAACAAGGGAGCTAACTCTAAGTGTTCTTACTATATCATTCACCATTGTCTCCCTTTGCCTAGTCAATTTAATAAACTAAAGAATGATATCAATACTTTTTTGGAAATTAAAACAAGACACCAAAAATAAATAGCTTTTGAAAAATGAAAGTAAAAGCTTTTTGGCCCATAATAGGCCTTTAACTTATTTACAACTCTTAACTAAATATAGTTCCATGTATAGAGAGTTATGAGGAATCTATCACTGATTATGACGGTCAACAGTTTACAAAGACCTTCTTCTATTGATTGATTATAATTGTCAACAAAATTCTTGGAATAAAAGTTTATTCAAACAATTTTGAAACAAGTTGGATGAAATATCTTTAAATCATTAAAACTTTCCCAAGCTGTGGAATATGATTTTAACTTGTTTTATCTTGATTATAAAACCTGTTGCCACTTTTACCACAACTAACAGACTACTATTTCAGTCTGCGCTATTAGCAGTTGTCCTATTGTCTAAGACAACCATTTTTTTTGGCCCGGACAACGAATTTTTAAAAGTTTACTTTGCCCAATGGACAAGTAAAAATTTGCAGAAAGTATTCATCAAAATGTCAACAAATAGTAATAAAATGCAAGATATCAAATACAATTAGTTTGCTTACATTTATGACTGTTTTTGCAGATTTGATCAATAATTCCTTGGATATGCTCTGATGAAAATATTCGGACAACCAGTTTTTACTTCGGACAACCAGATTTTCTTGAATTGGTTGCCCGAATGAAAACAATTTTTAAACCCTAATTTCACAGACTGCCATTTCCACATGATTACTGAATCAGCATTGAGAGACAAATGAACATTTAACAGACTCATTTTCTGAGATCATTTGTTGTCACAAAGAAATTTTGCATTGCCCAAAGATTGAATCAGTGACCAATGGTTTAAAAATCTGCTGATGCTTTTTCTAATAAGCTAAACACGAGAAAAATAGAGTGTAACCTGGGTGATCGAGAATATTTTTTACATTTGTAAATGTACTGGTTCCAATGTTTGAACATTTATTTACTCATCAGGAAGTTAATCAATATCAATAAAGTAAACAAATGGTTAACTCATTTCTGCACAAACTTATCCAATGTTCAAGAACATCAACTCTTTCACAATCACAGAGCAACAGGTATTCATTGTTTACCTCCCTTTAATCATATTTTTTTCTTTAAAACCTAACTGTACACATTTTAAGTAATTCTACTACGTTCTTTATTATTATCATCATCTAATTTTATAGGCCAGTAAAAAGCTTAACAAGGTATAGCAATAGTAGGTCATGTATTAAAGTGAATTAGTCTATATAATAATAGATGGTCAGTAAAACCATAAATAATTATGTTGATAGTATTTAGTATCATAGGTGAGAATAAACCACAAAATAATTATAATTATATAGATGCTGTTGGTGAGTGTAAGATACAGTCATGATTCGACATTGACAGATAATAAATTGTTCTAGACCAAAATATTATTATTCATCACATAGATTTTTATACAAAATCACCCAAACTTCTCTCTCGACATTTCATTATCCTGCAATTGAAATATTAAAAAGAGTATCCAAATGATACATGATATTTCTATTATTTTACCTATTTTTGAAAGTCTCATGGAAAAATGTGTCAACTGTCGACCAGTTCAATCTATTACTAATACTACATTTCAAAATTTAATCCCCCCCCCCCCTGAACACAATCTTGTCATAAGTCAAGTTTAAAGTCACATCTAGCTCAATAAATGAATATTTTTCTATACTTTAAAGTTTCATTTCTCCTGGCCTCAAGGTTTTAAAACTTTTTTTCTGAGTTCTGTCTCAAATCTCAGGATTTTCATTGGCCAGTGTACATTGTGTGACAGTTTCTGACCAATCAATGACTGGAGATTTGAGTTTGAGCTTGGACGAGGAGCCAAAATATTTCAAACTTGAGAAAGATGTACTTTAATTTTAAGAAAAGTAAACAAAAATCAAAGATTTAAGAATTAATTTTACATGTTATGTGCAATATATTTGACAGTATTTACCACCATATTTCTACTGCTTTACTAACACAGTCAGGGCTATCTTTGCATATTTTGACCTGTTTTTTGGTAATTAACATTGGTTGTAAGTGCTGTTTGCAATGTGTTAATTATTTTCTTTGTTCACTTCTCAAAATTTTACTTTTTAATATATTTTCAAAATTTTCATGAAAATTAGCAGGATTTGGGATCTGGAGGCGTGCTGCTTTAAGGAAGAGGAAACATATATGTTTTATAATGTTTTAATGATGGATTTCAAACATATCAGATGCTAACATTGCATCACCAGATGTAAGTACCACTGAATGTTACTCATTTTGTAAACAAAAGCAAAGTAGTATTTTCCCTAACACACAAAAATACTGAATCGCTTTAACTTAAACTAATTTCCAAAAAGCATAAGAAGCAAAGATGTGTAATGTGTTCCTTTTTTGTAAATGGGCCTTTATAGGCCTATTACTCCCATTAGGATTGAACCAGGAGAAGATGATAGGAGAGGTTGTGTGCTAGACTATGTTTATTTTGGGATCATAGTGAGGGCTGCAGGTGAGAAATATGGCCGCGTTGGTGATAAAGGAAAAAAATCTGCGTGTATATTGAGGGCTTCGTGCAAAAGGGATGTAGTTACAACCATTTCGTAACCAAGCAATATGTGTTTAGCCATCCCAGTGCAGGATAAAGATTGGAAATTTTGGGATGGGGATGTGTTGGTGGGGGTCGGGGATGTGGGGGGGTTTAGGGTGGTGAAGTAATCTTTACCTGAAAACTGTGATTGATGTTCTTTGTACTACATTCTGCTACACTCAAATCTGTCAACTCTATCTCATCGAATATTGATGACTGTAATATACATATAGAATATATTTATTGCAAACATTCAAGACATTCAGCGACTAGATGTGCTATAAATAAACATATAAGTCTGTATAAATCAATCAGCACAGGGAACACTAAATTCATTATCAGTACCACGATGTGATAATTAAATTTTGTTTCCAAATGAGGCAGTATCAAGTACATTGTAGCAATGCGTTGTTTTGTTCAGGTTTTTTTGTTTTGTTTTTTTAACATATCAATAAAGAATAAATCAAAGTAAAAATTGGAAGTTGCATAAACAAAATATATACATGAAAATTCAACAAATTTTACTCATTTGGACTTGTCCATTCTTTCACTCTGGACAAAATCATTCACCACTCTTACAGGGGAACAAAATCTAAATATACACATGACGGTACAGTAAAACCCTGCATCATAACATACAGACCTTGATCAGACAACACGGATAAACAAACTGATTTTGGTCTACAATGGTCACATGATGAGATTCAGTGGCTGCCAACAGGCTTGAATTTACATATTAGTACTGTAAGCAATTAAGATATATACCAACTCATGTAATATAATGATTTTCCAATGCATCAAGTACAGAGGGCGGGATAGTCTATATTATATCTATGTCATCTGACTTTATACAACTGGCTGCACAAATTCATTATTTGATTATGAAATCCTCCAAACACAAAAATGGACAGTTCTGAACTCAATGCTGGGGACAAGTCCATTATGGAAATTTAGCCAAGTGCTTGCAAAATTTGTTTGCCAGTGTATGCCGTTGTCAACTTTATTGGACATTTTGTCAACATTTCACTTTGTTAATTTTCATTTAGTATTATATTGTACTGAATTGGGATGGTCAAACAACACTAAAAGTTAATCAATTTTCATCTGGCGTATATTTATCATGTACTTTGTCTGATCTATATTTTTCTCAATAATCATTACTATTTATATGATGAACATTATGCTTTTTAAATATTACTGTTACAGTAATATTTTACAACTGACATATTTATGTTTTATTTTCAAGTGGGGAAAACCAATATAATTATATAACCAATTCTGACAGAATTACCTTTGTATCTTTTGCATAGTACAGTTTTCTTCCTTTTAATTTGAAAAACCGTCTTTTCCATCTCTGAAAAGAAAGTGTACATGTAAAATTTCAGAAGAGTTTATAAAAATTCTCTACATCAAATAATTTTTTTTAACTATCCTACAGCTGTTTCAAAAGACCACCTGTTTATAACAGCCATATTTCATTTGCAAAAACTGATTTTTGTGAAATAAATTATTTTCTATCAATATAAAAATTTCCATGTCATAAATAATATATTTCCCTTAAACTGTGCTGAACCATTAAAAAAGAAATGAGAACTTCGGCAAGATATAAATACATGGGTAACATCTATTTTGACAATATATAATCTATCAAGTGCCTGTTTTACTTCGCCTTAAACTGGCCTACTTGCTTTTTTTAAATATTTTTTTATCTTTCTAATTTGCAATGTAAGCAATGGTTATTCTGACTACCCTCAATGACCCCTCCCTCATCCCCATCAAATGCTCTACAACCACAAAAAAAATCAAATACAACCATGAAAAATCAATCTCGAATTTTCAAATATGCAAGCCCTGAATGTCACCAAGAAAAATTACACACACCCTCAATAATTAATGATTTTACGTAGTGACAAATCCATTAAAACAATATGCCTGCGAGGAACCTACAGTAAAAACAGACAATGCCGCTATCCTGGGACAAGCATTATGCTGACTATTGATAAAAAGATCTGAGAATTTCAATGCTCCCACTGCTAGCCAGAAACCAATCTATAGATTGCCATTTGAGAGGACTGTATCAAATATTGATGAGCCCGTATCCATCTATAGCTAGCTCCATGAGAGACTATCATCTGGACAGTTCCCTGTGTGCTCTCTCTCTCTATATATATAGTACATGTGTTTGTATTTTATCAATTAATAATGGATTAAAACAATAAATGGAACTCTTACTACATATCACTTTAGTACATGTACAATACATCATTTCAAGGCTGCTGTATCACCATGAATGAGTTTGTCAATTAAGGAGATTTCCTTCAGTTTTTGTTTCTTGACATACATGTACAAATAGGCAGAATGAAAAGCGAGTGTCATAGAAATTCTTAAAATTTTGCAATGATCTTAGTGTTCCATAGCAGAGGAAACGTTTTAAATGGCAAAAAAAATTGGGGTCAATGATTTAAGTTTTGAGTTTTCTGCCCTTAAAACTGATTTTTGTAGTTTGTTATTTCAATGTCAGATGTGAAATAAACAACAAAAGCGGAATTTTTTTTTATCGTATCTTTCAACCAATGATGCAAAGTTAGAAATTCTCATTCTACCTATACATGTTTGTCTATAATTATGAAACTGTAGCGAATGTCCTTTAAGAGAAATGAAGGACCTGGAAATGTTTTTCTAGAATTGTGTAACATTTGATGTAGACTTGAACTTGTTTGCAAAATTTCAGATTATTCTCTAACTCCCTTTTTTCATGTTAACCTGGCTAAAATCATCATGACATGCAAAAAAAATTGAATTTCTAATTTAACTCTCGACTACATGTACATGTATATTTCTATGCAAGAATTTCAAATTTTATGTTTTTAGGCTTTTTGACCTTAATTTGAACTTTAATATGAAGGTAAAAATCAAAAACAAATAAAAAGACATTATCTGTATTTAGACAAGCATCTTGAAAATATGACTCCGTAGTATCACAATTTCACTTACACAATGTGTAAAATGATATATAGAATTTTTTTAATATCTCACTCTATAATATAGTACTTTTATATTTGTCTGTAACTGAAGAAGTGATCCTGATTTATGATGCAATAAAAGTATCCCTTGAAACTGTGACCTTACAACCTTGTTTCCCAGATATATAACACAAAATATTGATTACAAATGTACTTTAATGTTCCATTTTCAATTCCCCAAGTCAAAATGTAAGTACATTGTACATGTAGAATTTATTTAACCAATCATTTAGAAATACATTCTATGCCATTTGAAGGACTGGTATAGTTAAAGTGCATGTACTTTAATTTAGTAAAACAAACATGTGACCATTATAAACATTATTTCATAATCAGTCTATAGTTTAAACTTACACCTACAGATATTATAACTTAAATTTATAGAATGAGTAAAATTTGGACCTATATCAGAAGACAGGCTATCACAATGTAGGAGTAAGTGACAGTGCTCTTATTGTCAGAACACAAACCTAGGGGTACTAAACTATTCAAACAAAAATTGCATTTGAATCAGTGTTTTACACCATGCATGATAACAAACCAGTTAATTTCCTTTGTAATGTATTCATTTATATAAAATGTGGAATAGATTCATTTATGTAAACCATGGAATGGATTCATTTATGTATATACTGGAATGGATTCATTTATGTATATACTGGAATGGATTCATGTATGTATATACTGGAATGGGTTCATTTATGTATACCCTGGAATAGATTCATTTATGTATATACTGGAATGGATTCATTTATGTATATACTGGAATGGATTCATGTATGTATATACTGGAATGGATTCATTTATGTATAAACTGGAATGGATTCATTTATGTATAAACTGGAATGGATTCATTAATCATTAATGTATATACTGGAATGGATTCATTCATGTAAACCATGGAATGGATTCATTAATGTATATCTTCCCTCGTGGAACTAACTCATTTATGTCTATATTCAAAAAAAAATAAAAGGGATGAAAACGAGTAACTATTTACTGAGTACTCAATCAATGTTAACAATTTAAAATTTGATTACTTGGAAAAAATACAATATTTCTATTTTTGCAATTTAGAAAGATTGGTGTATTTCAATTAGCTCAGAAATTCTTAGTGTACATGTTTCTTCATGAATACCTGTTAAATGCAATCAAAACTTCCTTGCAGGGGTGTGAAAATGATATCCGTAAATTTAACAAGACAATCAACAGTTTGACAGGCTCATGGGATTGAACACCTGTGTCGCTTATGTTATTCGGCCTGTTATGATATTTAATTACTTTTTATTGTGAAACAGTTTGTAGCTGAATCCCTTTATTTATATACAATTAATCATAAAACATAAATATATGCTGTCATTGACGATCTCTTATAGAATTATTACGTTTTTGCTAGCTATATCCATTGCCTCGGATCAGTCTATATATTAATTCAAGAAGAAAAAAGATATATGAACTGTTATACGTGTTTTAAACTTGATAATGCATTAATTAAAATGTTGTAAAATATAATGTTGTTGATTTAATTTTCAATAACTTGTTTATTGGTTACTGTAAGTTACCTCCCTTGCAGTCCTATTTATAGTTACGAATTTTATGAATCTAACTAGAAAACAAAAGTTGCATGCAGACAGTATGGATACTTGTGTGATAAAACTTTAATATCAGAAGGTGCCAATTGATCACTTTGTAGCTCTTTGATTGAGCCCATGGTTTTTCTCCATATATTACAGAGGCCCATAAAAGGCCTTCTCCCAATACTATATTTCTTTAAAATCATCCAAGTTTTTGCAAAAATCCAAACTTACATAATTTTGTACATTTTCTTACACAGACTTTCCAGCAATACTTTGTAATTCTTGAAAAAAATGTGTTTTCCCAATGTAGACAAAACAAGAGCTGTCACACAAGTGATGAATGCCCCCGAAAAGGTTTCTTAAGCATGCAGGTATTATGAAAAGAAAAGAGAACGAAAGTAACTAATTGCTTAATATTGTTCTTGTGAAATGAAGTGCTATTTATAGCAAACTTAACACCTTGGTACAAGGGTCTTGTATGCGACACAATATCTTGGTGGCATGTTATTTTAAAATCCTTCAATGCATGACAATGTTACGGTTTGAAAACTAATGTGTATCTTCAAACTCTTCTTTTGAGCATAAGTACCTTCAAACTGTTAGAGTGACCTTTACCTTGGAGGTTGGAACATGGGTCTTACACACAACTGGTCATATTGATGTGGTAGACATTTGTGCCAAGTTATTTTAAAATCCTTCAATGCATGACAAAGTTATAGTCCGGACACAAATGTGAGTATTAGAGAAAGTTGCTACAATTTCTTGATCAAGTCTCACGTTTTTTCATAGTGACTGAGATTTACAAAAAAAAATTGTTTTTTTCCATCCTGATTATAGTAAGAAAAGGTTATTCACATGTGAAATTTTGAAAAAGATGCTCTGAGTGTGACTACAATGTAATAATAATCCTTTAATGAAAACCCAGCATTCCATAAATAATATTGTTTCATATATATCTCAATATCTAAAAATTTACATTTGAAATTATTGACACTTAGTGCAAATGCACTGAAAAATTGAAACCTACCTGGAAATTGCTCTGTTTGTGCAAGAAGCCTTGTTTTGTACATGTCTGAAACATAAAAAATGTTCAATTAAACAACAATTAGCGCATTCAAGATATAATTAAAAATAGTTTATTTGTTAATTCTATAATCAATATAAGAACAGATGCACTTAGACTATTATTTACTCAATCAATTGGCAACCTGATGTTTTACGCTACCCTATCTCAAGGCTATTATTAAATGCAGGATTTAACTTGTACTGCTATTGAGTACAAGGACTGCCAGTCCATTTTTTATTTTAAACTTCTCAAATGGACTTTAACTTGTCTTGTCACCTTTTCCAAACATTCAAATATTTTTTTTAACGATATCATGATGAAAATGGTCAGCCAACAGTACTGGTATTGTAACGGCTGTTGCCTATGATCAAATAACTTAATAAGTAAAATACAATTACTACATAATCATATCAGAGGCTGACCGAGCCATCACCTACATGTAGCTTATTGAGAAAGTATAGTGCAGTAACATTAATTGTTCATGGAAGTGCACAGATCAACCGCTTAAAAGAAATGACACCAAAAAATGTGTTAAAATCACCGTATAAACCAGAAAAGCAAACAAATTCTTTTTTATCAATATCATTTCATAAAGAAGACTGTGCAAGCTCAACATAGGCAGTGGTCTGATGGTGAGACACAACTTGACTTTGGAAAGCATCATCAGATTAATCAGAGGGCAAGTTCAAACGTAGGTCTGCCTTCAGTCAAGCTACGACATTTCAACAGCCCTCCGGTAAATCTCTTGTATGGAAAACAAGTTGTTGAAACCGATGCCTGATGCCAACTCATGAACCTGAAAACCCAAAGACCTTTGACCTCTCCCAGTTTAACTACAATATCTCACCATTCAGCACATTCATTCATATTTAAAATGCCAACCAGACTGTGTTGTATACAAAATAATCCTTATCTAGGCTAGCAGACAAACCTTTATGCATGTACAATAACAGCATGACTAATTAACTAAAATGAAATGAAACATTAAGCCAAATTATTATCTCGCAAAGTATGCATTCATATACAAGTCATATTATAATAGCTACAAATTCTGCTTATCAAAAATTTATAACAACGGCAAAAAAAATTGTGCTATTTGAAACTGTTCACTTTGCTTCCACATTATTAAAGATATAAATATACTATCCACTCTACATAGAGTGTCAAGGGATATTGGGACTTCTTATAAATGCCTATTTTCAGCAAAACTCCTGCATATTTCATGAGCCTATACAAATGGTTTTCTCAATGACTCGGAATGAGCATGGTATTTGTATTAACTTTTCACACAGAGCTGGCATAGTTTTACAGTTGACATGAACAATCAGAACATTATCAAATAATATGAAATTTTGTGCCGTGTCACGACAAAACCAACATAGTGCGTTTGCGACCAGCATGGATCCAGTCCAGCCTGCGCATCCCCGCAGTCTGATCAGGATCCATGCTGTTCGCTATCAGTTTCTCTACTTGTAATAGTGTTTGTAAGCGAACAGCATGGATCCTGATCAGACTGCGCGGATGCGCAGGCTGGTCTGGATCCATGCTGGTAGCAAACGCATTATACGTTGGTTTTGACATGACGCGGCTCATATGGTCTGTGGTGATCAGATACATGTACAATGTATGTACATATTGAGGCCTCCATTATTGGAAGCTTTGAAAACATTTACCCCTTGATTTTGGCTTGTGACTTCCAAAATGTAATGCTTTTCCTCCTTTACATATATGTATATAATGCGACTTCCAATATCAGACATTTTGCAGTCTCTGACTTCCAAATTATAGTACTTAATTGAAATGGTGGGTGATATATTAAATAGTGGATACAGGTATGTTCAAAGTACATTTGTATTATACAAGTAATTAAATGGTAAAATTGTATGGAAATTGAATGAATACAAATTTTATCAAACATTAAGGGTATAGCCAATTTTGCAAAATTAGGCACTTAAATTGTTTTAAGTGTATCATTATTAAACACTTGTTTTAATTGTATCAATATTAAACACTCTCATTGTACTTTAACTAAACAGTAACTTTGTATGGTATTTAAACATTGACACTGTATATTTAAACACATGGCTGTGAAAAAAACTTAACAAGAAAATTGCTTAACTCACAAAGGTACAAATGTTTCTGAACAAAAAATTCCTGCAGGAGTTATGAACTTTTGCCAAGGGACAATAAACCCTAAAAGTTAAAGATGTGTGCTTAAAGAGGCAGAACTTTAACCTGTCAGAAATTTCAAGTTTTTCACGGGACATAGTTTTAAATATTAGAAAAGCCAGCAAGTTAAAGGTTAGATATTGAAGTAGCTTTATCCTACTTCTTTTTGGTAGCTTCAATAAAATCATACAGTAATCTTAATCCAATCAGGAAGTTATAATAAAGATGTCTTAGTCATAATAGATGACAGATAAACTAAATTTAGTCAATGCTTCCCATTGTCTTTCCTGTAATTAATTTGAAACTAACCCACACAAAACATTCATTTCAAAGAGCAAAATACAAATACTCAGATTAATGACCTCTGTCCTTTTTTTTATGGGTTTTTAGGGCTTCCATTAAGTTTTGAAATTTTCATGGCTTGAATACCCCAGCATACCACTTTGTCAGAATCACCAGTGGCCATTCAGAGCTGCAGGACAACCTCCCTGCCAAATCTGAGGTTACTAAAGCCAGTGCTAAGTTATGTATTCTACATGCTTTAAAAGTGAAAATGTCAAAATCAATACACTGCAGACAGGCATTCTTAAGCATTTGAGCAGACATGCTTATTATATCAAAATCCCTGTGACCTTGACTTTTGACATAGTCACCTTAATATCAAAAGAGGTCATCTACTAGTCATAAATAACCTCAATACTAAATATGATGACTGTTGACCAAAGCATTCTTAAGTAATTGAGCGGACAAGCTTTTCTTAGTCAAGGCCCCTGTGACCTTGACCTTTGACCTGGTGACCTCAAAATCATAAGGGATCATCTACTAACCATCCCCATCCCCCCTCCTAGAATTGACACTGAGGCATGCCGTATCTGTTGGCTGTGTTCTGAAAGCTCAAATGAATATGTAAGAGTGCTGTTTTCATTACTATTATGAGGGTAGAGAAAAAAAATGTTATACTGAAAAGTGAATTGCATACATTTTGGGAATCCTTGCCCCCAGGACAAATACATTCATATAAATTAAAACTTCCAGAGCTGAGGTAACATAAACTCTTATCCAGGTATTTTTGTCATGCTAGTAAGATAACTCAACACAGGACTGGAGAAGTACCTCTAGAAGCTTGCTGAAATCATGATCCATAAATAGACAAATATTGATATTGTTGGGGTTTTTTTCGCAGATTCTTACATTTTTCATTCATTATCATAAAACGGTGTGAAAAGATGAATAAGACCTTTTAAAGTTCATTTCGCTGGGTGCAATAAAAGCAAGATTTTTGAAATTAATTATTCAAGCGCCTTGTCCGGTATATATCAGAATATGGTTTAAGTGTGGTGCACCAATCATTATTTTAGTCTCACAATGACTTGGCCTTTGCAACAAACAGACATAAAGGTAGCTTTTTCCTGACCTTTCTAATATATAAACATGTATACATTGTATAGAATTCTCAATTATGCATCACAATAAATTAACTTTGAAACACAAATCTGATCATAGCTGTTTATCATTGCTAAATGACCAATGTATCAATGATGGATATCCATTCAAATTTTGACAAATACAAAATAACTTTTAAATTTTTGTTGGTATAAATTTATAATTTAACAATAATTATTAAGAATGCCAAGTAATTGTGTATTGAATTCAAAGAATTTCTCCTGCAGGGAAGAAACCAGCAAATGGTTCCTGCTTTGGAAGTGAAAAAGATCCCTGTTTTAAAAGAGTCACTTAGCCAACTCATGCATCTCATCATTAAACAGTAATATAGATAAATAATTAAATATGGGCCAAGTTGACCCATGCCATGTTTGTGTAGGTCCGCAGGGTTCCCATTGGGTCAAAATTAGGGTAAAGAGTCAACTCGGCCCTATACCAACTCGGCACAGGTGAACTCGGACCTCAATAAAAAAACAACATTAAACATATTAACTTTTTTGATTATACGTTTAAGGGCCGAGCTGACCCTGATTCAAAATTAGTTTGCGCCACCAAATTCGTCAATCAGAAAAAGTTGGAGCCAATAATTCTTCAAGGGAGACATGCCTATCTTTGTTAAGTTATGCTAGCAGTTATATATCATTATGATCATTACAAACACATATTTATAATATTTCATGTTATTTATTACTGCACATGTTTATTTTCTAAAATATTGACATAGTATTATGTGGTTTTCAAATTCCATTTAAATACATGTGTCAAAATGGTTACTGGGGTCCTACATATTACCGGACAAAATATGAAGTTTTTTATCTGTAGCTTTTATTTCAAATAATTAAAAAGAATGGAATTTTACCCAAATAATTTTGGGTTCTTTATGCACGTAAACATTTCTTTATCAAACATGAAATTGAACATTTGACCGTAGAAATGTGTCTTTAAAGTAGGACATTATAAGAGGGAAAAAATCGTGTAAACAACTCAATTTACCGGACATTGTGTTTCAAATTTTTTTGAAGTCATGCATTGAAATTAATCTATAAATAACAAGCAACACTGAGCAAGGAAGCTACCACTATTGAATGGCAAGGTTAAGATATTTGAAAAACCCAGTATGTCACTAGAAATAGACACGGCATCCATGCCTGTTATGAAGAGGCCAATATATGGGGTGTAATTGAAATTAAAACTATTAACTCAATTTACGTATTGATCCTTCATGATCCGTAAACGCATGAAACATTTTAATATTCAAATGGAATTCTGTTTTTCTGTTCTTTGTCATACAGTTTCCTTTTTGTCATCATGTAGCATGTTACAAAAGCCATAAAATCAGTTTTATTTACATTTCATGTAGAGTTTCGTCCTATGTGCGTAATCCGTTTCCTTATATGTTTTTCAATTTGCACTTCTTTGTAAAAGACAACAACGAGATACTGTTTAGACTAAATTTAAAATTACTTTTCATTAAAATATGTTACGATTGTCTCTTGAAGTAACGTTGAAAAGAATTAAAAGTAAAACCTATCTAAAAAAAACCATTAAGGGTCTCCATATTTGGGCCTGCGCAGAACAGATTATTCCCCCGCATTACCAGGTCATGAATTAACTAGTTAACAAAAAGGGCATGTTAGTAGATAACGAATTGAATCAACAATCTTACCTGAGAGTGGTTTTGTTGTTATTTACTTTGGAATAGAAAGTGTGTGTACAATTCAGAATGTATGATTTTTGAATCGAAGTAAAAAATAAAGCACTATTCAGCATTAATAGCTTTTGTCCGGTAAACTGATTGTCCGGTAAATATGTAGGACCCCAGTAACTATCTGCATATTTCAAACAAAATAATAATATTGTATCAAGATGTAAATAACCAATTTTTATCAACTTTGACAGCTACTGAGTACCCCTCCCTGTTTTAGAAGGCAGAGCACATATGTCATTTATTTTTTTCTATATATTACCGATGTGCGAATATCTTTGTTCGTTGAGATTCGTCTGTGGAAAATTTTTGCAGGTTCCGGTTCACTTTCGCTGTCTGAAGACACGTCTATGCCAGCACTTTCCGAGTCTTTTTCAGCAGATCTTTTATCGCCGACTCTGCTGGCAGCCATTTTAAATTCTAATTAAAGGGAAGCTACTCTGTGTGTAAGATACACTGAGAGTGAGCGTTCTTAGAATTTAGGTTGCGGCTGCTAAATTATAAAGGTTGCAAACCATTAAATACTAATCTAAAGGCTTGATTTATTTGTTGAGTGTCTATAAAAGTATATGAGTTGTCTTATTCTAAAAATTACATATTATATATTCATTTTTCTACCTATGCATTTGTTCTGTTGTTGTTGTTGTTGTTGTTATATATGATTTATAAGTTTATTTTATTCTTACAATTTTTAGCAAGATTTATAGGCAATTATTAAGATATTTTTCAAAACTATGTTCAGTCTTATAAGTTCTATACACTGAACATTTTGCAGGACTAAACACTATATTATTCCAATTCAATACAAACTGGTCATATAGTCAAGATTGTCTACTTTTTGGGGACATACCTAGTTCCAAGGATATACTAAATGAACTTGTACATTCTCGTAAATGCAGTTTGAACTTGTAACAGGAGGCTTTCAATGAAAACGGCCAGTTTTCACAATATACTCATGAGGGAAAGGGTTTACCAATTTAATATGACATGATAACAGACTGACGTCAAAAACTTCAAGGAGGGATGCTTAAAAGGACGCGCCCAACCACCATGTTTGTCGACTTTCCTATTCGTAGAAACTTCTCTATAAGTTCATATGTTACACATGTTATAGAAACATGTTATTTTCAAACGCAGTTCTGATTTTATAATGCAAAATAAATGTTGTTCGATCTGTTTTTTTTAATTTTATGGGTACTGCAGTTCTGAGACGGTTAATAAAATGTTGGAATCCATTTTTCTCTTAGCAGGGGAGAATGTCACGGGTCGTTTTATTTGTTATATTAATTGTTCATTTTGCCGTGCACTCACTATTCGTCATTAAGTCGCGGGAAATGTATTCTTAATGTCTGCGCATGCGTCGATGTCTGTTATCGTCTGCTATTGTTTCCGTAACGTAAGCTTATTAGCGGAAACGACCGAAACAATTCAATTATGTCTGTATCTCGTGCAATTTTGTGAACTGTTTTTGTTTGTCCAATCGTGTTGTACGTTGTATGAAAGGTATTTGAGAGAAAGTTTTACATTGGTTTTTAACATTTTCTTTCTTTCAAATTCCCGCGAACTTTCCTTCTCCAGTTCACTTTGTCTTTATGCTCTTACGAGTTAAGATATACAATCTACTTGCTTTAATTCTATCAAATTATTTAATAGAAGTTTTGGAAATAACTTATTATTAAGTTATTTACGTTTTGTATTGAGACGTTGTAGTAAGATTATTTTCATTTTATTCAAACAGACATATTTAAGGTCCATGTGACTTTGACCTTTGACCTAAAGACGCCAAAATCGATAGGGTAATCAACTAGTTACAACCAATCAATATGTGAAAAATAATGACTTAATAATAGATTGTTTTCAAGATAATGAACTGAAACCATTCTGACATTTAAGGCCCCTGTGACATTGACCTTTGAACTATAGTGACCACTAAATCAATAGGAGTCATTTACTAAATATGACTTATCAATTTGTGAAATATGAAGACTTTCTTAGAAATAGCTTTTAAGATAGTCAAGGATACCATTCTGATATAGGTCCTTATGTCATAGTGAATCCAAAATCAATAGGTGTCATCTACTAGTTATGACCAATTAGAATGTGAAATATGAAGACTCTGGGATAAATAGTTAAGATAATCACTGGAAAAACGTGAAACAGTTACTTCTTAGTAAAATCTTAAAACTTTACTTAAATTCACTTTCAGATTATTTTAATTGCAGACATTCTAAAAGAAAACGACTCGGTAGGATTTAAGATGTATCTTTTCTGCACTTAATTAAGGGTGATATTCAAATTGAAGTGGGTTGAAACCTGTTATGCATCGGGCATTTTTCCTTAACTACGTAAAAAAGACCATAAAACTTCCCGATCGGGAAGGATTTTGACGTTTGTTGCCAGATCGGGAAGCCTTGAAGGGGAATCCCTTTGTTTAGCATCAGGTAAGACAAAACTGGTGTAAAGGGAGGCGATTTGCTTAATAATACATGTAAAACCAATAGTATTCTTGAGCAAACTAGTGTATGTTGTATATGGAACAATCTCTTGACAAAATTGTTAATAAACATGTGTCATTTTTCTTATAAATTGCAGGTATTCTGTATGTTGTATTTCTCTTATTCTTTATGTTACTTGTGTATAAGTTTTAAAACAATAAGATAACTTGATTTACATCCGGCTGGGACCGGTTTCAGGCGTTTCTATTTTCTCTGTGCATCAATAGGTCTAATGTTCCACTTTTTCCATTGGTACTATACAAGCGAAAACAACAACAACAAAAAACAAGAATTAGTGGGGTCCGGACTCTGAGATTACATTCTCTTTTTTGTATGCCAAAAACGAGACGGACACACCCTGTGGTAACAACGAAATTGTAAAACAGCAGCGATGACTAACTCACAAAAACAACAACAACAACATCTTTTTTTCATAAAGTTTACGTGATAAAAATAACCAGATATTGGCGGAAATATGCCACTATTACCTATTGTTTCCTGATTAAGTTTGGTACATGCCAGAAGTATTTTCATTCTCCCTGTAGCCTTGAAACATTTGGATCTTGTTAAGCAGTAACCACCATCTCTTACTACTAAATGGACCATTGGATTACTTTAATGACGGAATATTTTGATCTTCGTTAAAATCGTAAAAAATCATATTTATTTTTGGAGCATTTATAAAAAGTGAAGGTAAATGACATTTTTTAAAACTTTCAAATTTGTACAGTTTAAAAATTTGATTAGACTTATTACCGCATTACGTATGTTTCTGTTCAAGTCATATTACAACATGAAAACTTTTGTTTTCAAATTGGTATCGTTCGTTCGTTCGTTTATTTATTTATTTATTTATTTATTTTTATTATTTCGTTTCATTTCGTTTCATTTTATTCATTATTTAATTTATTATCTTATGTAATATTTATTTATCATATTATTTATTTATTTTATCTATTCATTTTCTTTAATGATAATACTTGAAATCATCATAAATTGTGAACAATGATGTTATCAATTCTTACATTTGAAATAGTACATAATTATACAGTTAATTTTTGTCCACTCGAACGGATATCTCGAATATATCTGTTTGTTCGAACTCACCATATACTCTCGAATATATCTGTTTGTTCGAACTCACCATATACTCTCGAATATATCTGTTTGCTCGAACTCACCATATACTCTATCACACCGTAAGGATAATTAGATAATTATACACTGTACTAACATAAAAACGTTTTGGAAGTTTTCTTTTTTTCTTCTTTTTTTTCTCCTCCAGTTCGACAAAACACGCATTAGAAAGTGAATTTACATGTGACAATTTTGTAACAAAATATGAACTGTGTCCTGCTCAAATAAAAATAACATAATTACTGCTCACACCATTATCATTCGTGGAGTACTGTTTTTTGTGGTTTTCTTGAGTACGTCCGTTTATAAATTTCAAACCCAACGAAATTTCATTTCGTCGTCTGTAAAATCATTGCATTATATGCATTTCTTTTGAAAAAATAGGCAATCCACGAATTTAAGAAGCCACGAAAATGTCTTTTGTGACAAAACCACGAAACCTCATGCCCATGAAATCAAATGAATTCACAGTATACGCTCGTACTATGGGGAAAAAACAACATTTTTGTGACTTAAAGACTTATGAGTCATTGATTGAATCAGCGTTATTATGACCAATAACCGAGTACAGAAATACGATGTAAAGTCATGATTTCCGGAAATGTACTAACAAACTAAGTATCTTTAAAAGGAAACAAATTAAATGTTGTTTCGGTTTTACTAAAAACTGCACTGTAACACACGCAAAAAAGTTTAGTATCTATCATTAGAGTAACACGGACAGTACAGGACGGGTAATTATGTATTTATTGATTTTAATTTTGTTCAAAATTTTCTTGTGCAGAAATCATTGGAATAATTTCATTGTTTATGGTCAACAGGATAATGTTGAAAAATTTGTAATCCCGCACCCCCCCCTCCTCCTCCAGAGGGTGTTGAATGTGTGGGGGAGTGGGGTATGGGGAATGAACCACCTGTATACATTACAGCACCGTTTGCTCATTGCGATCATTTAATGGTTTTAAAAATAGCTAAAGATGAATAAAAATAGCATACAGTTGTGGGGGTTAGTTGGGTTTGGGTTGGATTGGATGTGCGGATTGAATCGGCGGGAGTTTTATTCATTTTTTTACTGTTGATTGTCCAACGGAGAGGGGGCAACTTTCCAGTATTTTTCCTTATATTTGATTAGATTAACAACAATACTGTTAAAAAGGTTAATAAAACTGTAGAATGCTTGGTTTTCAGTCAACGGAGAAAATATTTCTTACATACATGTATTCATGTATTTATAAAATGCAGCTTTAATGTAAATGTTTCTTAGTGTGGGGTAGTGCTTCAAGTGACTTTTACATAATAAAAAAAACATATTTTATATGAACATGATTAAAATGTACTTCTGGGTATTTGAAGCATATCTCATTTAACGTTTTCTCAACTGAATGTGTATTGTAAGTGTCCTCATATAGTACATTGTTAATAACTGTACTTGTTGACACTGTAAATAATTAGCATTGTCGCCACTTGCTATAGTACTGCCGGCTCTATAATGTTGGTAGCTCAGCTTTTGTATTTTGTTTTTTCAAATCCCGTAAACGTTGACTGGACTTATCCAAATGGACTAATCTAAATTTGCAAAGAAGAGAAAACTCAATTACATAGATTCAGTAGGTTAATAGTTAACAATACCCTCCTTTACGTTATATTTCATAAATATCCTACAATATAAATAGCATTAAGAGATATTGATAACAAATGGAGATAAATTTCGTAATGATATATCTTTCACAAACTTTTCTATTTATTCAGTTTTAAGGGAAATAAAGTTAAAGAGAGAAACCATTCAGTTAACATAGTTACACAGACTTGGTAGGATATCACGAGCTGCATAGTAAACGAACTTTTCGCAGAATCCTCTAAATCAGAAACATTTGAAATACTTTGCGCAGAGTCAAAAACTTTTCGCAGATTCCTTATAATCAGAAACATTAAAAAAACTTTTCGCAGAATCCTTATAATCAGATACATATAAAATACTTTTCGCAGAATTAAAAACTTTTCGCAGAATCCTTTTAATCAGAAACATTGAAAAAACTTTTCGCACAATCCTTATAATACAGAAACATAACATTGAAAATACTTTGCGCAGAAAATCCCCATAATCTGAAATATTAAAAAAAAACTATTAAAACATGTTTATTAAAGTATTATATAAAACAATTTTAAAGATATACTATGCTCATCCAGAAATTTAATGAAATCTTTGAAATTCTTACTGAATATGTCTAATTTTAATATATGAATGAATCAATATTTATGGGCGGGGGATACAGCATTTCCTATTACAGGTCAAATAAAGTTGGTCTTTTTTTCTTTTTTTAAAAACTGCCAGTTTTTTTTTATTGACACTATATATTCATATTATTACCGCCTATAGCGTGTAGAATTTTTAAATATAACATACCTACTTTGTGTTAAGTCAGAACATTTTATTTTATATTTACAAAGAGACTGTGTAGCAATTAACATCAAATTTGAGCATAGTATATCTTTAAGACATGAAACCAAATTTTTAAGTTATTATTGCAGTTTTTGTGCAATATTTAAATATTGAGATTGTGTCTTTCGCAAATTTTGCACCTATCTTAAATACGGTCCAAAAGCCTAAAAAATATATCATTTGAAACTCTTACATGAAAATATGAAACACATGCAGATGATAATTAAAAAAATGACCAGAATTTAATCTTTCATTGACGTGATTCTTAGCCTGGTTTGAGTTTAAAGTATTCGAATGCTGTTCATTTTTAATTTTGGGAAACGCGGAGAGAGCAAATGATTAGACATTTTGCACAGAAGTTATGTTATTGTCAAAAACCTACTATTATGTGAAGTCCCTTTAAAGCATAGGCCATATAAAAGCTGCACGCCTCCAGATAAGCAAAACTATTTATTATAAAATAAAAGCTGAGAAAAATGTATTGAGATTTTAAGAAAAGTCGAAAGATTGAAAATTCTAGGTTACGTGCGATTAATGACCTATTTTTCAGCATGTATAGCTATATTTTTACTGCGTTACTAACGCAGTAAGGGCAATCTTTGTATATTTAACCTCATTTTTGTAGCTTACATGGGTTGTAAGTGCCATTGATAATGTGTACATTGCATTCTTTTAGTAACTTTACAATATTATACTTTGAAATACATTTCCAAATTTTCATGAAAATTAGCATGAATCTGGAGGCGTGCTGCTTTAAATCTAGCGTTTTGGTGATGAGTTTTTATCTTTATTAATTCACACAGTTAAAAAAAATATAAAAAATAATTTCTTCGTACCGGATAAATCAATTAGGAAAGTGAAGTGTTTCTTAGAAAAACATCTTAAACGAGGTCCTTCCGAATTTTGTGTACTATTTGATATTTTGATTTGGTAAATTGACGTTTAAATAACTGCTGTTTACTCAAATCGGGCATCTAATACAAATTCTGTTGTGTTTTTTCTTCATAGTTTTACGTTTAACGTTTTAAGAGCCCAAGTTCATTTATGTAAGAAATTCAAATTCAATGGACCTCCTTTAAATACACTTTACCATTATTGACCTTCTCAGTTGTGCGAATGTTGCCGTAATTAAAAGTATTAAAATATGGCCTCGCCCTTTTAATGGCATGAACCTTTTTATTTACGAATATATACGTGATATTTTCTGTGTTCGGATTTATTTAATTCGAAAAAGTAAATGTGTACTTATTTATATGAGGGTGGGCCAATAAATTATGCAATGCGACATGGTCAATCAATTAAACAAAAGAGAAAATACATTTATTTTACAATTTTCTACTTCAACCGTTCGAAACAATCTCCTTCTACAGAAATACAGACGTTTAATCCAGTGCTTCAACACAGTCCCCTTTGAACCTTTCAATTACTGAAAAATGGCCAGCAGATTCCAATTCTACTTTTGTTGCGACGACCTGCAAAATGTTTTTGTTGAGTCTAGAAAAGAGGAAAACGTCACAGGGTGTCACAAGGGCAGCTGCTCGTTTCTCTCGAAAATAAATTACAGTAGCTCATTTGACTGCAGGATCGTTGTCATACAGAACATACAGGTCTGTCATACCAATCGAAGAACGAACTTTATTGAAGTGGTTTTTTCCCTCCATTTTTCTTCACACGGCATGTCTATAAAACTTGGATGTGGCAGAACGGCCTCTAGAAACATGGCTTTGGACAACAGTTCTAAGGATATTGAAAACAACTAACGTTCATAGCTTTTTTTGAACTTGTCAATCGTTTGCCAATGCATGGTCAACGAACAGTTTTGGTGGCCCAAATCTTATTGTTACACTTGCGGACTGGCGTAAAATAGTGAAACCAGTTAACTCGGCCCTTCTTCTGATCAGGTGTAAGCAAATGTGTATCTATCTGGCAGTTTTAACTTTCAAGTGATTCTTCAGAATCGTTAGTTGATCCGTTTGATATTCCTAGTTAAAGTATTGCATCTTTGTCATTGATAAGCTTGACTTGAGCGTTTTCTACCAGACTAACAGGTATTTTCATTGACTCGTGTCCATTATTGTGCATCCACCTCGAAACAGTTGAATAAGATACTTCATTGTTGTCCTAAATATTACAAATATCATTATAGATATTTATAGCAGATTTTCCTAGTTTTGCCCGTATTTTAGCACTTTTAACTGCTATTTTATGTAAAGTTACCCGTGTAATGTACTTTTAAATATGGATAAAATACTTAATCAGTGGACTAAACGCATGATTTACAGATGCTTTTAAGCATAGAATAGTTTACACAAACACAAGAATCACGAGTTAATTACAAAATATACTTAATACTGCATTACATATTGACCCACCCTCATAATAAAGATAGGTTTAAAAATTATTTAAGTACATTGTACTATTATATTGCATTAATAAGAATACTTTACAAGTGCTTTAAGTGTCCTCAAAATATTCTAAGAAAGCCAGAATGCACTTTCAAATGAAATGAAAAAATTTAAAAAGGTATGGTGGATGGTTAACGTCACAGACATACGAAAACACAAAGCTCGTATCTTTGTGTTTTCGCATTTTCAAGTCAGAAAAGCGAAAATCAACATGACGAAAATCAGCCACCATAATACAGGACATGTGACACATATAGTACCTGTCGTCTGCCGCAAGCCTGATAAGACGGGCAATACGAAAATACGGCAGTGTGACCACTTTGTCGTAATTTCGCTGCATGGATTGCTTTTTCTGGATTTTGATATCAAACGCATTAATCCATATGCATGTTGGCGAGTACTATATACAATTGTAAAGTTATATAAACACATACCTGTATATGTTTCATATTTGATTACCAAAATATTCACGAAGATGCGACCACGTGCTTTTTAGCGAAAGTAATAACGATCTTCACAACCGAGCCAAATGAACATACTCTCTGACACATTTGTTATAATTTAATAATAAATATGAAGCTAGAAGTGAATTCAGCTATGGTGGCTGATTTGTGCTATGACGTATCTTTGATCCGCGGGACGCCAGATAAAAAACATGAAAACATCCGTTGAGCAAAAATACGACAAAGTGGTCACATTGTCGTATTTTCGTTTTTTCGTCTGGCGTCCCGCGGAGCAAAATACGACATGTCACAGATCAGCCACCATACTCAATCGTTTATGATTTACAAAATATCAGAAAAATACATTGAACAACAACTGTTGTTTTCTTTTTTTAGACATGTCGACGATACTCCAATGTTTCATATTGATGATAATAATGTATGGAAGTATTCTTTCAATGCCTTTCAAAGACGACAGAAGACACAACACTGCCTACATTACAAATGGTAATACTTTCTGCTCAAGTCAACATTGTTATAACGATCTACTTAATTCAATGGTTTTAAGACATCTTTTTGTTCCCAGTACGGTCTTTGATGTTGTACACCTGTTAATTATATTTTCATAATTGAAATATTGAGAAATATAGATAAAATGCAATGCATATTTTTATTTTACGTACAATTACTGTATAAATTTATTTTTCACTGCATGAAACATATTTTTCCGTATTTTCATTGTTGTCTTGCCTGACAACTTTCTTCTAAATTCAGCTAATGCACAAAATTTAAGAAGAAGTCTTTGAAATTGTAATGTTAAAAGAGAAAACAATCTATATAACAGAAAATTTAAGTTATTTTCTGTAAATACAGGATTTATTTTCATCTTGAAGTATGAAAATTATCATATTTCACTCATGGACACGCTACTCATGAAATTTTTATTTTCATACCACTCAATGAAAATAAATCTTGTCCTTATATGAAAAAAACTTTAATGTCACCATCTTACAACTAGGTAGATAGGAACAATCTTATATGGCTATACAATATTTAACTGTTGGCAGCAGTATGCCAAGATACATTGAAATATTAATGTAAATAATTCTTTTTAAGAAAAAGTGAAAAGACTTATAAATAGAAACAAGTTTATAAGAGCGAGAAGGGCTTCTCCAGCAATATCAAGAAGCATGGCACGTATAGAGGAGTGCATCAGGAATCCGTATCGCTGTCGGTAAGCAATGCTTTTGATGTCTCATGCATCATTGTATTAAAGTATTGTCATTGCTATCAGGCGTTATTGTCTATGTCTAAATATAGTATTGTCATTGCTATCAGGCGTTATTGTCAATATCTGAATATATTAATGTCATTGTATCAGGCGTTATTGTCAATGTCTGAATATATTAATGTCATTGTATCAGGCGGTATTGTCGATGTCTGAATATATTGATGTCATTGTATCAGGCGTTATTGTCAATGTCTGAATATATAGATGTCATTGTATCAGGCGTTATTGTCGATGTCTGAATATATTAATGTCATTGTATCAGGCGTTATTGTCAATGTCTGAATATATTAATGTCATTGTATCAGGCGGTATTGTCGATGTCTGAATATATTGATGTCATTGTATCAGGCGTTATTGTCAATGTCTGAATATATCAAGCGCTTTTGTCTATGTCTGAATATATCAATGTCATTGCGTCAGGCGTTATTGTCCATGTCTGAATATATTAATGTCAATGTATCAGGCGTTATTGTCAATATCTGAATTTATTAATGTCATTCTATCAGGCGTAATTGTCAATGTCTGAATATATTAATGTCATTGTATCAGGCGTAATTGTCAATGTCTGAATATATCAATGTTATTGTTTCAATGTCTGAATATATCAATGTTATTGTTTCAAGCGCTTTTGTCTATGTCTGAATATACCAATGTCATTGTATCAGGCGTTATTGTCAATGTCTGAATATATTAATGTCATTGTATCAGGCGTTATTGTCAATGTCTGAATATAATAATGTCATTGTATCAGGCGTTATTGTCAATGTCTGAATATATTAATGTTATTGTATCAGGCGTTATTGTCGATGTCTGAATATATTAATGTCATTGTATCAGGCGTTATTGTCAATGTCTGAATATATTAATTTCACTGAATCAGGCGTTATTGTCGATGTCTGAATCTATTTATGTCATTGTATCAGGCGTTATTGTCAATGTCTGAATAAATTAATGTCATTTTTTCAGGCGTTATTGTCAATGTCTGAATATATTAATGTCATTTTTTCAGGCGTTATTGTCAATGTCTGAATATATAAATATCTTGTATCACGTGTTATTGTCAATGTCTGAATATATTAATGTCATTGTATCAGGCGTTATTGTCGATGTCTGAATCTATTAATGTCGTTGTATCAGGCGTTATTGTCAATGATTGAATATATTAATTTCACTGAATCAGGCGTTATTGTCAATGTCTGAATATATTAATGTCATTGTATCAGGCGTTATTGTCAATGTCTGAATATATTAATGTCATTTTTAAGGCTTTATTGTCAATGTCTGAATGTATAAATGTCATTGTTTCAGGCGTTATTGTCGACGTCTGAATATAGTTTTGTCATTCTATCAGGCGTTGTTTTCAATGTCTGAATATATTAATGTCATTGTTTCAGGCGTTATTGTCGACGTCTGAATATAGTTTTGTCATTCTATCAGGCGTTGTTGTCAATGTCTGAATATATATATGTCATTTTTTCAGGCGTTATTGTCAATGTCCGAATATATTAATGTCATTGTAGCAGGGTTATTGTCAATGTCTGAATATATTAATGTCATTGTATCAGGCGTTATTGTCAATGTCTGAATATATTAATGTCACTGAATCAGGCGTTATTGTCGATGTCTGAATATATTAATGTCATTGTTTCAGGCGTTATTGTCGACGTCTGAATATAGTTTTGTCATTCTATCAGGCGTTGTTGTCAATGTCTGAATATATTAATGTCATTGTATCAGGGTTATTGTCAATGTCTGAATATATTAATGTCATTGTATCAGGCGTTATTGTCAATGTCTGAATATATAAATGTCACTGAATCAGGCGTTATTGTCGATGTCTGAATCTATTAATGTCATTGTATCAGGCGTTGTTGTCAATGTCTGAATATATTAATGTCATTGTTTCAGGCGTTATTGTCGACGTCTGAATATAGTTTTGTCATTCTATCAGGCGTTGTTGTCAATGTCTGAATATATTAATGTCATTGTATCAGGGTTATTGTCAATGTCTGAATATATTAATGTCACTGTATCAGGGTTATTGTCAATGTCTAAATATATTAATGTCACTGAATCAGGCGTTATTGTCGATGTCTGAATCTATTAATGTCATTGTATCAGGCGTTATTGTCAATGTCTGAATATATTAATGTCATTGTATCAGGCGTTATTGTCAATGTCTGAATATATATATGTCATTTTTTCAGGCGTTATTGTCAATGTCTGAATATATAAATGTCATTGTTTCAGGCGTTATTGTCAATGTCTGAATATATCAATGTCAATGTATCAGGCGTTATTGTCAATATCTGAATATATTAATGTCACTGAATCAGGCGTTATTTTCGATGTCTGAATATATTAATGTCATTGTTTCAGGCGTTATTGTCGACGTCTGAATATAGTTTTGTCACTGAATCAGGCGACATTGTCAATGTCTGAATATATGAATGTCATTATTTCAGAACTTATTTTCAATGTCTGAATATATTAATGTCATTTTTAAGGCGTTTTTGTCAATGTCTGAATATATTAATGTCATTGTATCAGGCGTTATTGTCAACTTCTGAATATAGCATTGTCATTGTATCAGACGACATTGTGAATGTCTGAATATATGAATGTCATTATTTCAGAACTTATTTTCAATGTCTGAATATATAAATGTCATTGTTTCAGGCGTAATTGTCAATGTCTGAATATATTAATGTCATTGTATCAGGCGTTATTGTCAATGTCCAAATATAGCATTGTCATTGTATCAGGCGTTATTGTCAATGTCTGAATATATTAACATCATTGTTTCAGGCGTTATTGTCAATTTCTAAATATAGCATTGGCATTGTATCATGTGACATTGTCTATGTATAAATATAGTTTTGTCATTGTATCAGGCGTTGTTGTCAATGTCTGAATATATTAATGTCATTGTATCAGGCGTTATTGTCGACGTCTGAATATAGTTTTGTCATTCTCTCAGGCGTTGTTGTCAATGTCTGAATATATTAATGTCATTGTATCAGGCGTTATTGTCAATGTCTGAATATATTAATGTCATTGTATCAGGCGTTATTGTCAATGTCTGAATATATTAATGTCACTGAATCAGGCGTTATTGTCGATGTCTGAATATATTAATGTCATTGTATCAGGCGTTATTGTCAATGTCTGAATATATTAATGTCATTGTATCAGGCGTTATTGTCAATGTCTGAAAAATATATTAATGTCACTGAATCAGGCGTTATTGTCAATGTCTGAATGTATTTATGTCATTGTATCAGGCGTCATTGGCATTGTCTGAATATATAAATGTCATTGTTTCAGGTGTTATTGTCGACGTCTGAATATAGTATTGTCATTCTATCAGGCGTTGTTGTCAATGTCTGAATATATTAATGGCATTGTATCAGGCGTTATTGTCGAAGTCTGAATATTTCAATGTCAATGTATCAGGCGTTATTGTCAATATCTGAATATTTTAATGTCATTGTATCAGGCGGTATAGTCGATGTCTGAATATAGTTTTGTCATTGTATCAGGCGTTATTGTCAATGTCTGAATATATAAATGTCATTGTTTCAGGTGTTATTGTCGACGTCTGAATATAGTATTGTCATTCTATCAGGCGTTATTGTCGATGTCTGAATATATTAATGTCATTGTATCAGGCGTTATTGTCAATCTCTGAATATGTCAATGTCAATGTATCAGGCGTTATTGTCAATATCTGAATATATTAATGTCATTGTATCAGGCGTTATTGTCGATATCTGTATATAGTAATGTCATTGTAAATAATATGTGCTAATGTAACAATGTTGACCGCTAAATATAGTTGTATCATTGTTTCATGTCTTACTGTCGATGTCTGAATATTTTATTGTTTTTGTGTGTGTGATTTTTTTGGGGGTGGGGGTTGTTTGTTTCGTTATTTTTATGTTTTTTGTTTTTGTTTTTGCTTAATGTCGATGTCTCTGGCATTATTGTCATTGTCAATGTCGAAATATATATAGAAATGTCATTGTTTCTAGACGTTGTTGGCTGTACTTGATTATAACAGTATCATTTTTTTCAGGCGTTATTGCCAATGTTATTGTTTAGTTTTACTAATATTTCAATCGTTATTGTCAATGTTTGAATAAAGTATTGTAATTATTTTCTGGCGTTGCTATATTTGTCTACATATAGTTGTGCCAATGTTTCAGGCGTTATTGTCAATGTTATTTTATACATGTAGTTTTACAATACTTGTTAAGGCGCAATTATAAAAAAAACTTGTCTGCTATTCAAGCCAAAACGCTGAGAAGCAAGTGTTTCAAGTCAGAGCAAGCAGCAATAGTCACTTGAAACTGGTGGTCCTGGGGCTAGTATCTCGAAGCTATCGTAAGCATAACGACTATCGTATACCTCTCGTTAAGGTTTTCACCGCTATCTCGACGCTCTCGTAATTAACGAATAATCGTTAACATGCCCAATTATTAACGGATGCCTAGAGGGTGTCTTTAGGCTCTCGTTACTAACACTTTGACACAAAATTAAGAAAGGTGCGATTTTAACTACATAAAGAATGAGAATTATATCATTTTATTGATAAAAAATGATGAACCGACATAAATATAGTATTGTATTTCTTTTTCTCATGAATTTTCAAAGGCCCGTAATAGATTTTATTGTGTAAATTCACTCAAAGAACTCTTTAATACAATTCCATAAAAATCATCATTGATTATTTGAAAAAGATAAACTTGAATTCTTGGATCTAATTGACTCATTTTTATTGTCATTTACAAAGTTTTACATAACATTTAAAGCCTATTATAGCATTCGGCACGATATGGCCAGTTATGTGTTGACGTGCCTTAAAAATCCAAACAAACAAACTTTTTCTCACATATCAAACATATGTAAAGGTTCTTTACAGTTTAATTAAAGACTTATATTTGAATGCGGATGAAAAAAAAACATATCATAACTTAAACAGCGAAAGGAATAAACTCTGTAATGTGTAATTTTGCACAAGAAAATATAAATTCAAACT